TCAGATCTGATAATGGTACACACTTCTCAAATGAAGATTTATGCACGGTTGAGCATCTAAGTAGGTGGCTGTGGCTCATGAGGTAGGGCAGACGTCTCCTGCCCAGCAAGTTGGTGGTTCGACTCCCGGTCTCCCCGCATGCCTAAGTGTCCCTGAGCAAGACACTGAACCCCGAATTGCTCCTGGTGGCTTGACTAGCGCCGGTGCATGGCAGCTTGTCGTCATCAGTGTGTGAATGTTGTGGGTGAATGGTGTATCATCTCTGTAAAGCGCTTTGGCCAGTGCAACACACTGTGAGAAAGCGCTTTATAAAATACAGTCCATTTACCAGTCCATACTGCTTGCAAACCAATGATGGTAAGATGATGTTATGGGGTAGGACTAGATAAGTCTAACTTCTTCCTACTCCGTTCAAGCACGTACTAGGTATAAGCAAATTCTTATTGGATTAGCATTTGTTGGATATGTGTAAAATTATGTGTGTTGTCATATCAACTGTCTTTACATGCTTGAAAGAATAAATCAAATCAAATCAAAAGTGAATATGTCAGACGACTGAACAGCGCCGTGATGAGTCTCTCTGAACAGGTTGTTGAAATCCTGTGCAGAGACCAAGCTGAGGAGCCTACCTCATTTGCCATAGACAGCTGGGTCTACCACAAGGTGCACAAACTTCACTGGTTCGAACCCCGGTGGCAAGGACCTTTCAAGGTAGCAGAAAGCACCACACACTGTGTTAAACTGTGGCTCACTGATAACAAGTTAAGTAACTGGATCCATAAAACACACTGCGCACCAGCAGAGGATCCCACTGTTCGCACAGTAAGTCAGATCAGGGCTGATTTTGCATCCAAATTGCTTGAGCCACAGACAAAGGAGGACTAAATTTAGTGTAACAATTTTCAGGGAAGAGACATTGCTAGGAACAGTAAACAAAATGTCCATTTCAAATTTTTTAAATGGTCGTCCTGGCATGGTTCTCTGTGTTTCTGGCCTCATTACCATAGTTATTGTGGTATCCCTCTTGTGGTGGGAATGCAAATCCCACGCACACCGTGACAAAAGAGTAATTGATCTGGCTACACCCAAATTGGTTTTTGATTTAGGTAAAACTTCCACTCTAGAAATTGATGCATGTGACATTTTGTGACATATTTGATTGTTCTGGGTGGCTCATAGACAGATTGAGACACTCTGAAAACTACATCTGTATATTGTCTGAAGTTCACTTTGACCAATGGTCAAGGCTTCGGTTTAATCTTTGTGACTGGGGAGATGTGGGTTGGAACACTGGTCCCACATCCTGTGGTTACCGACCACCTGCGGCTCAGAGACACAGAAGCAAGGGAAAGACTCTGTTGGATCGGCTCTCTGTGGTTAGAGGTGAGGCCCCAGAAAATTGTG